CATCTGCTTGTGGGCGCCAGGCCGACGGACGCATGCCTGGAGCCAGCGGAGACGTCGTACTCGGAGCTCGCTCGCGATCGGCACTAACCTCCACCACCTCATCACCTCCTCCGTCGTCATGCTCCTGATCTGACCATCCTCGTCCTCCCACGTCGCCTCGCCTCTCATCGCTCGTCGGGCAAGTCCCGCAACCGCTAGCTCCAGGGTGCGCAACTGTGAAGCTGTCAAAACAAACGCTTCCACTCCAGACAGACCAGTATTCAGCACGTGACAGAGGAAGATGCATCTTTTCCATCGGTGTGGCACACCCTTCTGATACCAGAAACGTCCAAGTCGGAAGAAGGCCACCTTCATGGCCCGCACACGCTTCACAAGTTCTGCACTGAACGTCTGAGCAGGGGTGAGAAACGGACCGAGATAGCGAACCTCATCAGTCACTCGAGTCCCAAGATTCCGAAGCACTGCAGCGGCACGTCTTCGGTAGCTGGTGGGCACTCGCAGAAGGGCTTCCTGTTTAGATTCGTTACGCTTGAGGCCGATCGCAGCCAACTCCTCATCCAGCATCCTATCGTTAGTGGTGAGAAGGTCCTGGAAGTGGTCTACCCTAAACGGAGGCCCCAAGATAATCTTCTTAAGCAGGTCGTCCGCAAACTTCTGGAGCCCCAAGTACACCTGTGGAGACCCAGGGAGGACCTCTTCAGGAATAGTAGCCCACAGACAAGCCTCCCCCTCCTCGTCATACTCCTGGAATCGAGCAAGCCAGCGATCGACAGGTGGCCGAAAGACTCTCACAAATGATCTCACGGCATATGGATCCCCCTGGAGACTCCCGCACCCAGGTCTAAGGAAGAGTGGCCCCTCGGCAGATGGCAGAATACATCCTGAGCACCGATGACGCTGACGGCAAAGACGAATATCCCGAGGTCGAACAAGATTGTGGCACGCCTGATCTAACTTAGCCCAGTGTGAAGAAGCGAACGCATTCGTCAGGTCCTTAAGCGAATCACACCACGAAAAGCCTGCAGCCGACAACCTCCAAGAAGTACACATATTAGCTACGATCGCATCCTCTCGCCTCCGAGACCTCAGAAAGCCGTGGTCACAGTCCGAATCTACATACTTCGGTCCCAGCCTCATCAGGCCCTCGAAGAACCCCTTGGAGATTGGATCCAGCCCATGAACGATACGTTTCCCCCGAGGTCCAGGAAGAGCACTTTTTGGTATCGCGAACCCCCGACTGCAATTCCAGATCGAGGGGACAGTTCCCCAGAAACGTATCATGGTGAAAAGCTTATGCATCCACTGTCTGGCCTCAACCGCGTCCGTGATGGCAGTGTCAGCCCCCAAACCTACCCGGCTCACATTCGACTCGGGGGCCGCGGGCGTGTGCAGGACCAGGTACCACAGTTCCAGCGGCAACGACCATGGAGGAACGCTACGTCGCTTGCCCGCCCTCCTGGTGTAGTGCTGCAGCTGCTCCATGTCGATGGTGGCTTGCAGCCAAGCCTCTTGGAGACGCTCTGGTCGTGACTCGGCTGTCGGAGGAGAGTGTCGCCAAATCTGTCTCATGTCCACCATCTCCTGCCAAACAGCCTGATGCGCAGCCAGTCCCCCTTCACAACCTGCAGCTCCCAAGACGCCCATCCATTCTTCAGAGCTCGGCATCATTCCATCAAGTCGACTATAGTCGCGACGAGCCCGCCCAAATCGACCTCCAGCAAGTCTGCGCGAAAGGCGCTGAACGAGGGCCAGGTCTCGTCGCTTCCATGCCTGCCATATTTCTTCCACTAACTGTTCCTGCTTCTTCTTTTTCTCGTCCCTCGCTATCTTCTTACATCTGGCCGAAATCGATCGAAGCTCCTGACAACATGCAGCAAACTCGTCGTCGGTCGTGTCGTGATTCATCCTGGCTCGAAGTTCGCGTCGTTGTCTTAGGAGGGCGAGACGATATTCGGACAGCTGGGACCTCTGCGATTCAGGGCGTGCACCCCGAGAGAAAAACTGTGCCCCCACTTCCCTGAAGATCCCGTCCAAGTGCAGCACGATAGCATCGGGCTCTGCGTCTCTGTGTTCCCAAGCTGGCCAATCTTGTGCAAGACGTCTCTCAACCTCACGCACGAAACCCTCACGAAGCTGACCACCTCGAAGATTCTTCATCAGTTTATCCCGATCCCACTGCACCTGTGAGTATATAACCCCATCAGGGGAGGCCGCCGCAGTCTGTCGCTGAGCAGCAGCGACATGTGGGACTCGCATCTTAAGTAATACTGGTGTGTGGTCTCGATAATCTCGGCATTTGATAACCTGAACCCGCTTCCCCAATCTATGAATCGGACTCGCCATCATCACTCGCTCGCACCACTCCAGAGGGATCGCGACAAAGTCGATCATGGAGGCGCCACCTGCGGATCCGAAGAAGGTGGGGGACCATGACCGCACCGTCGTGGGCACGAAGAGCCCGTACTCCTCTAGAACTTCTCTGAACGACTCCCCCGCTCCCTGTCTATGACATTCTCGAGTTCGAACTGGTCCCAATGCAGACGAAGGTACTGCCTGCCACTCCCCATTTAGCTTAGATATGCCCAGCCCGTCGTTGACATCGCCCATCACTATAGGAGAGACCCGCATAGGCAGCACCCGTAGAATTTCCCAAAGCCAGTCCCGAATCTGTTTGCAGGCGGACAAATACTGCTTGACCTGCTGCGACTTATTGGGCTTGGGAGGAAAGTATACCACTATCACATAGAAGAGATACCCATAGCGCGACAACTCCACGGCGAGACCTCGTCCCTGGAGCGCCCTGGGGGGAAGATCAATCTTCCGAATATTCCTCTGAGTCCATCTGGGAGGTAGTATGCAGGCACACCCGCACGACCGATTCGAGAATCCCCCCGCTCGCCAGCCTGCTTGAACGACGACTCGCGAGGAAGAGGAGGAGGAGGAGGAGGAGGCGGAGGAAAATGAGGAGGGGGTGGAGGGGGAGGATGAGAAGGAGGAGGAGGAGGAGGAGGAGGAGGAGGAGGAGGAGGAGGAGGAGGAGGAGAGGAGGAGGAGGTGGAGAAGGATGAGGCGAGAAGGATGAGGCAGGAGCAGGAGGACGAGGAGGAACTGGATGAGGAGGAGGAGGAGGAGGAGGAGGAGGAGGAGGAGGAGAACGACGACGAGGACGTGGAGGAGGAGGAGGAAATCGAAGAAATGGAGGAGGAGGCAGGAGGGTGTAGAAGTAGGGGGCAAGACAATCACCATATCCTCAGGCGACCTATGCAGATTCTCATGTGTGGTCTTGCCATCGGAGTAACTACTCTTTCTCTCTTGAGGACCCTCTTCCTCATCGCGACCTAGCAGGCGTGGCACTTGAGCAGCCCATGGAGGAGCCGCCAGGGGTTGGAATATGTGCCCGTTCGCACCCAGCTTGCGGGGATATCTCGTGCGATTTGCGTGCCTGATGGCTTAGACGTCGGAGTTTGCAACACGTTTTGCGAACACATGTTTCGAGCACAACGCTGGCTTCATCCCCCCCACGCGGCCAGATCGTGGGGATGTACCGAGCGAGGCGCTCGATGCAGGGAGAAGGGTGGCTGACAGGACGGAGGTGGTAGGAGGGAGGAGGAAGGACGAGGCCGCAGGAGCAGGGAACCGGGAGGATGGAGGAAAAAGAAAGGGGCCGAGCACGACGAGCAGTAGGGGGCCGGAGAGGGGAGGGGGCCTGCTCACCGCCTGTGCGCCTGGGAGTTGTCGTCGTCGCTGCCCCTCATCGTAGCCGCCGCCGCCGTCGTCGCCCCCCTCGTCGTCCGTTCTGACTCTCGCACACACTTACGGTAGGTTCGTGTCGTGTCGACCAGCGGCGACCCCAGCGCGGGCGTTCAAGGTTGAACGCCGCCGGCGACCCAGAATCGATCGATGTTGAACGATCGGACGTTGCGGCAGCGGCCGATCGTTCAAGGTTGAACGATCCCTGCGGTGTCAAAAACCAACGCTGGGGTCGGCACGACACGAACCTGCCGTAGACACTCACGGCCAGACGCTCACAGCGGGACGTGCCAGGAAATGGCAAGCACCGATGGGGACCTTTGCGTCGAATCATGTTCGTTGCTCCCCCCCCCAGAAGCCTCCTTGTCGCCACGGCTGGATCCGACAAGGGATCGCTGATAGAAGGCACTGCGCGGATAGGTTGGGCGACAGATGTGTAAAGGAGGCCATCCCTGTGGGGCTGCAGGAAGGGCAGAGGTTGAGTTCTAATTTTCCCAGCAAGATACTCGATAACGGCTTTCTGACAAGATTATGTGAGGATCTTGGTGTTTTGAGATGGTCTGGAGCGGCTCCTTACAGTCCTGGGAGGCTTGTGATTCTTGTTGATCTCTTGGGGGCGCTCTGAGAAACCCCTGAGGCTTCTTGGGGTCTTGATGGGGCTCCTGAGAGGCCCCCTGTGGGTCGAAAGAGGGTCCTGAGAGGCTCCAGAGAGGCTCGTGCGGCGCGTCCGCGCGTGGCGCATGGTTCAAGATTTTAGCCGCAGCGTGTACTTTCTATTTGCTGTGACTGGGGTACCTGCAAAAGTGGGGCTGCCATTCACCCCCCTCAACGATCGTTCCTGCTAGAGCACACTACAACGTGATCGCGAGGCGCACCAGCATGCTCCAGATGTTGCTGCCAAGCGCAGGTTGTATTGATGCCTGTCTGCGATGCCTTTGGGGGCCATTGTCTCGGGTTAGGGGCCAGCAGTGTGAGGGAGTGCATTGATAAAGGAACCCTCCCCGAAGGGGAAGGGGGTGGAAGAGGAGGCGCTCCAGACCACCTCAGCTCAACACGGCTGGCGGAGCTCGTGGATCGGAGACCTCGTTGTGTCCCCCTCATCCTCCGCCTTTTCCCACATAAGTGTTCTCATCATGCTCCGCCTTTTGCCGCTCCCTCTCCTGCTTGTCCACTTCTTCCCCTGTTATCCTCGCTTTTCCACGGGGAGGCGCGATAGCGCGAAGATAACCACGCTCCGCGCACCGACCTAGGCTCCGACGCTTGCGCAGACGCCGGGACCGACTCAAGCACCGACGCCGGCATCCACCCAGGCACCAAACATTCTCCCAGTCTCGGGCGTGGGCGACCCCCACCTCACCAACATGTACGGAGAGCGCTTTGACGTCTACGGGACGGGCGTGATCATCCTGCTGCAGATCCCGCGATGGGTTGGTCCACAGGGTACGTTGCTACATCTGGAGGCCGACGCCAGACGCATGGGCGGTGCGTGCTCTGACGTGTACTTCCAGACTGTCAGGATAACGGGAACCTGGGTGAACCAGAGTGATGGGCTGATTTTCTTTGCGAAGTCGGACGACAAACCCCGCAGAATGACATGGACGCGATTCGGCAGGATCGACCTGAAGGTTGTGAGCGGTAGAACTCGCCAGGGCCTCGATTACCTCAACGTCTACGCCAGAAAGCTTGGCAATGCTAAACACCCGGTGGGCGGCCTCCTCGGTGGCGATACGGACACCGTGGCCACGACCCCTGACCAGAGCTGTTCCCACACCCTGTCCCTCTCCAAGGCGCTTGCCCGCGCGCTGTAGCAGCGTGGCCGGCGCCGTGCGGCGGCTGCTGCCTGCAGAGGCCGCAGCACTGGCGGTGGTGCGCCGTCGCCGCCCCGACCCTGCCTTTTGCCAAAAGGCCGCGCTCTGCCACCCCGTTGATGGGCATGTTTCCCACTACCACTTCCATCAGTTAGAGGGAGGAGGAAGAGGAGGAGGAGAGAAGGGAGGAGCAGGAGAGGAGAGAGGAGAGAGGAGGAGGAGGAGGAGGAGGAGGAGGAGGAGGAGGAGGGGAGGAGGAGGAGGAGGAGGAGGAGGAGGAGGAGGAGGAGGACGGAGGAGGAGGAGGAGGAGGAGGAGGAGGAGGAGGAGGAGGAGGAGGGGAGGAGGAGGAGGGGAGGAGGAGGAGGAGGACGAGGAGGAGGAGGAGGAGGAGGAGGAGGAGGAGGAGGAGGAGCAGGGGGAGGAGGGGGAGGAGGAGGAGGAGGAGGAGGAGGAGGAGGAGGAGGAGGAGGAGGAGGAGGAGGAGGAGAGGAGGTGGAGGAGAGGAGGAGGAGGAGGAGGAGGAGGAGGAGGAGGAGGAGGAGGAGGAGGAGGAGGAGGAGGAGGAGGAGGGAGGAGGAGGGAGGAGGAGGAGGAGGAGGAGGAGGAGGGGAGGAGGAGGAGGAGGAGAGGAGGAGGAGGAGGAGGAGGAAGAGGAGGAGGAGGAGGAGGAGGAGGAGGAGGGGAGGGGAGGAGGAGTGAGGAGGAGGAGGAGGGGAGGAGGAGGAGGAGGAGGAGGAGGGGAGGAGGAGGAGGAGGGAGAGAAGGAGGAGGAGGAGGGAGGAGGAGGATAAGGAGGAGAAGAGGGAGGGGGAGGAGGTGGGGGAGGAGGAGGAGGAGGAGGAGGAGGAGGAGGAGGAGGAGGAGGAGGAGGAGGGAGAGGAGGAGGACCCTCCCCCCCTCCCACTTCTGGCATTGGTGGTGGGAAACAGGCCTAGCACCCGTCTCTCGGGAGGGGGCAGGGCAGCTGCGGCGTCGGAGGCAAGAGGGGCGGCACCGCCACCGCGCATGCCACCTCCGGGCGGCAGCTGGACCTCCCCGGGTGATGGCCCGGGTGTGGCCAGGACCCCAGGTGAGGGGACCCAGTCAGTACTAGGGCCCCGGAGACCTTCAATTAGGGGAACAAAAAGTGACATAAACATAAAAACTCGGAGGTCCGCGCGGATTTCTCGGATCCGCGTTGGGGCCCCCCAGCGGCGCCTCTGGCGCCGCCCCTGGCGCGCTCCACGCGCCAGGGAGGGGGTTCCAGCGCCGATCCGAGAAATCCGCGCGGACCTCCGAGTTTTTATGTTTGTGTGACTTTTTGTTCCCGTATAACAGGGCCCCGGAGCCCCTAAAGTGGCCACTACTTTGACCGTCGGGTGGGTGTAAGTGCGGTAAGAGCGTTGTATATCCGATGAAATTGTTTCAACGAAGATGTATGTAGGTTCGTGCTAGTTGACCTCACATATTCAACATATATAAACTATCGAACTTAACATTCATCTACTTAACGTTTAATTAGATAAGTATCTTCAACAACATACCATACATACTGCTCACAGAACCATCCATCTTATTAACTGAGCTATCGGGTACCACTGCCAATATATAACAATACATACACCTCAACATATCCAACTTAGTAGCTAAGTCAGCTAAGTCGATGTGGGCTGTCCGATTCGGTTAACCCGAAACTTTGCATAGCCTTTTTTTTGTGCATGTTTGTTATTGATATTGCTATGTTCCGGGAAAAACAACAACACAAAACGCTTTAACAGCTACAACACGGCAGCTTTTCAGGACAAGGCGCCGCAGGTCGACGCGCCGAGCCGCCCTCAGGACGCCTGCGGGGCGCGGAGGGGAAGGGGGGAGAGGGAGAGGGGGGGGATCAACTAGTCTTCAAACTGCCTCCCCTCGGCGGCCATCACCGCCTCCCCTCTCCTCTCCTCGTTGTCGGCGGCCAGCCCGCCCCCGCTCCCTCCTGCCGTCTTCCCTCCCCGAGCCCGCCTTCCTTCTTCGGCGGCGTATCCGCCCCTCCCCCCTGCACCTCCCTATCGAAGGGCGGCGCATCCGCCAGCGGCACATAGCCATCGTCCTGTAGTCGCCGATCAGCCGCCCAGGCTGGCGGGATCAGCTCGGCGGGCGTCACGGCGACGTCGCCGCGCGGCCGCCACAGGGACGCGCCTGGGCATGGCGCGCGCACCCATTCCAGGGTCTCCACCAGCAGGTAGCTGGCGGCGCCAGCCTGCGCGCAGCAATGCACGATGTACGCCTCGCCGTCGCCCAGGAGAAAATCCTGAGGGCAGCAACGCCTCGATTTTTGGGGGGGCACACGCATGTGCACCCCTAAATACCAAGGTTGGTTGCGCCGTCTGTCCTGGCTGCCGTACATCTGGCCGTCGATCGACGCCTCTCTGCTGGTCCACGTTTCAGCCCTGCGGAGGGGTTCCTCCTCCTCCTCCTCCTCCTTCTCCCCCCCCCCCCTCCTCCTCCTCCTCCTCCTCCTCCTCCTCCTCCTCCTCCTCCTCCTGGCGGCAAGCCGCCTCGGCGGCGAACCGCCTTCCCCTCTCCCAGCCCATCTTCCTCCACAAAGTGCATGCAAGGTTGCGCCCCGAGTGCCCGAACGCACTGTCCAGCTCTGGCGTGCGCCACGCTTTGGCGCGGGGGCGCGGCGCCTAATTCGCTTCCTCCAGGAAGCAGGCGAGCATCGCCGTCAAGGCCGACAGCTCGAAATTCGCAGGGTTGTCGATCTCCTGCGACCTGGGCCGAAGCAGGTTGCGCTTCCTCTCGAGCACGAAGGCGTCCAACCAGATTCCGTCCTCCGCGGGCTGGTCGGGGACGTGCCACAAATAATGGTGCTTCGGCTTGATCAGGGCTGGCCCGTGCGCGGCTTTGTGCAGCGCCGAGGAAATCGAACCGGCCTTGTTCCAGACAGCTATCAAATTCGGCACGGCGCCGACCCCCAGGACGCAGCCGAACCGCTTGCCACCTAAGCGCTCGGGATGCGCGCGGGCCGACGCGGTGCATCCTCGAACGCGCAGGCCAGCGTTTGCGTTTCAGCTGCGGCCGCGTGTCCTTTTGCCCTGCGTGTGCAATTTGAGCAACTTCGCCATCGCCTCGAACGACCGCGCCGCAGCGTTCGCCATGCCGCCGGGACGCAGCTCTGTGTGCACCCAATGACGAATCAAAGGGGACACGGCCAAGCAATCCGACGCCTTGCCCACGAAGTGCGACGCCTTGCAGGTCGCTTTCTTCCGAGCCACGCTGAACAGAAACGCTGGCGGTTTCCTGCCGCGTCTGCCAGTCCGCCACGCCGAGCAGCGATCCCGCCGCGTTCCCCACGCGTCGGGGATGACATCCCTCACCGCCTTGACGAGCGCAAAGATTTCGACCTGCAAGGTCCCGCCGCTGGCCAGCATGGTATGCGTGGGGCCCCTCGCGTATGTGCTCGGCGGCGCCACCGTCCGCAACGCCTGGACCGCCGCCAGAAAACGGTCATCCGGAGTGATGCCCATTGCCGTCTCCTTCGGGGGCTGGAACATCAGAAGGGAAGGGGGGGGGGGGGACATCAGAAGGGGATCGATGGAAAGGTTTTCCTCCCTGGCTCCAGTCTCCCGATGTTCGCTCTGGTCGTCGTGTCCCGCAGCGACGCCAAGTCATCATATTGCTGCAAAAACTCGTCTGGCGCCAGCGTGTCAAAGCGCGACGAGCCAGCGCGCCGGAGAGGCACGAGGTAATCATCGTCGTCGTAGTCTGCAAGACATTCCGCCTGATCCAGCACGACGTTCTTGCATTGCTTTCACGGTCTCAGACCTGCAGCGCCCTTGGTGCAGAATGTCTCTTTTCCAGCCGCCTCGTCTGCAATCAAGCGGTGGAACTTGGCGAAAATGCGCACGCCGCCGATTGGCGCACCGTGCTCCGACAGACTCTCTGGCCCCAGGAGCAGCGCGCGAAGCAATGCCCGCGCCGCGGCCGAGCCGCCGATGCTCTTCTTCACGACGACGCGCGAGGTGCCGATCGGCAGCCACGCAACCTCCTTCTGCAAGAAGGATCCGAACTCGAGGAAACTCGCATACACCGCGAGCTGATTCCGACGGTTATCTATCTTCAAGGCGCTGCCCACGCCCATGTCGTCGTAGTACAGCAAAAGCCTCCACGGCCGATCGCGCGACGCAGGGAAACGGCGCATCGCTTCCCAAAGCATTGAATTCCAGAGAGGGCAGTCCGACAGGAGCCTCGGCATCAGCCGATGCGGCAGCGCCACGCTCCATCGGAAAGGCGTGCCGATCTTGGGCTGCAGCCGCACTGCGCTGATGAGATCGGCCACGGATGCCGTCTGCGATCGCTGCGTGGCCCGAGCGCTCACGCCTATAGCATCGCCCGCGTCGTCGCCATGGCCAAGCGCAGTCGCGATTCGCTTGAGCAAAGCCGCGGGCACGCCGCGCAGGGCCAGACACTGTTGCAGTCGAGCCCGCTGCCCCACCTGCTCGCCCACCTGCAGGGCGCGTTTCCCCATTGCGCCGACGCCCGCGCGCGGGAGGGGCGGGGGCGGGGGGCAGCGCGAGGCCCAGTGCGGTTGAGAAAAACGAATTGCAGCCAGAGGGGCGGAAGTGGAGGCGGGGATGGATCGCGGGGCGGAGTCGCCGCCGAAGGGCATGGCGGTGTAGCCGCCTGAAGGGTCGGGAGGGGCGGTGCAGCCGCCGAAGAGCGTGGGGGCGGGGGGGCATGGGGGGGTGGGGGGTGGGTGGGTGGGTGGGTGGGGGAGATTGCGGGGGCGCGAAGTGAGCGTAGCAACGGAGCTTGCAAGGGGGATTTCTTTTTCTCGCACGCAGCCGTTCAGAGCCAAGCTCGGGTTTCAAGCTCGGAGACGGGCGCGGCTGGCGGCTCTTAGTGCGGGTGCGCGTGCTGCCTCCAACTCCTCATCCCCCTTCCTCCTCCTCTCCTCATCCTCCCTCCTCTTCCTCCTCATCCGCCTCTATCGGCCCAGCTCCGATCGCCGCTCAGCTCCCCTGGTGCGGCTGGCGGCAGAAGTGCCGAATACTGCCTGGGATGTCCGTCACCGTCTTCTTCGACATCTCAAGCATCATCTTGCCATTCTCCTCGGTGCGGCGCGCCTCCTCCATCATCTGCCGCGCCTGGTCGATGAGCACCTGGCCCTTGGCTCCAACGGCGCGTGCATGGCGGCAACGATTGCGCCGCTCGATGAACCGCGCCACCATGGTCGCCCAGCTCCTAGCACTGCCATCCGCCGCGATGAGCTCGAAGTCATCGACGTCGTACTTGCCCGCGATGCTCGCCATAGCGGCGCAAAACCGCGAAGGGAGCGCGACCTCGAGCGGCTCTCCTTGAGCCACAAAGACTACGGATGAGGGGTGGGACGGTGGCAAATCATGTCATTGGGAAACGCGAGAGAACGGTGCGAGCGCGATGGGCAGCAAAGGCGGCATCTCCGCCAAATGAAGGCAAGGCGGCATGTCCGCCAAGGGCTTGCGAGAGTGGAAAGGCGGCACCCCCGCCAAACGAAGGGCTGCGGTGGTAACGAGTGGGGTGGCGATGGCAACGAATATTTTTTTTCACCAACAATAACAATTATACGAAATCACACACCTCGTCATGAGCGGCCCAACTGCCGCCCCTGCCAAGGAGCTGCTGCGCCTCTGCTTCGTCCCCGACCGCCAATCGATGGGGTTCCCAACGGTGTCGCTGGCCTTCGCGATCCACAGCTCGCGCGGTAGGATCTCGAGCAGGACGCGCTCGAGCAGGAGGGAGTTCTGCAAGCGTTTCGCCTCGCCAAGTGAGGCATCGGAGCGCGATGAGGCAAGGCGGCATGTCCGCCAAGGGCTTGCGAGAGTGGAAAGGCGGCATCCCCGCCATGCGAAGGGCTGCGGTGGCAACGAGTGGGATGGCGATGACAACGAAGAAATGTTGTTCCACCAACAATAACACTTGTACGTAATCACACACCTCGTCACGAGCGGCCCAACTGCCGCCCCTGCTCACGAGCGGCCCAGCGGCCGCGGCTTGTTCGGGTCCTACTCCACCTGCTGGGGCACCTTTTTCAGGCCGTACTTCATGAGGTACTGGGCCACCATGGGGCGCGCAGGTGCTGGGCTTCTGCGCCTCCTTGAGCATCCCCGCGATGGCCCTCGCCGCCGAGCTCGCATCCTTCTGGATGCTGATGGCCTCGCCCTGCGCGATCGTCAAAGCCACGCCGCTGTGCGCGCGCTTCTGCGCCACCGCCTTCATGACTGCCACAGACTTCCTCGCCGCCTTCGCGTTCTTCACAGCCCATGGCGGCACCTTGTCCGCCTTCTCATGCTCGAGGTACCCGTCCAGCTCTGTCTCGAGCCTCGTTGCGGTGCCGATCCACTTCAGCGCCAGGTTCCTCTCCTGCGTCTCCTTCTTGGCCTGCTCGGCCTTCTCCTTCGCCTCCTGCCGCCTCCGCTCCTTCTCAGCGCCCTCATCCCTGCGGAGCCTTCGGGGTTGTCCGAAAATGACAACACTTCGAGCCGATCGACATCAATAACCCGATCCGAACCTGAAGAGTTGAACGGAAACCGAAAACGAATGCGAAGCCCAGGCGACACCCCTGCGTTGAAGCCCCAAACGGCCTGCTCTTGCTCCTGTCCTTGCTCTTGCCGCGGCTCTTGCTCCTGCCCTTGCGGCGGCTCTTGCTCCTGTTGCGGTCGCCGCGCGAGCGGCCCCTGCTGCGGTTGGTGTCGCGACGTCTGTCGCGGCGTTTGCTCCTGCTGTCGCGCCTGCCCCTGCTGTCGCGCCCGCTCCTGCTGCGCCTCCTCCTCCCGCGGCTGTCAGACCTGCGCCTGCGGCGCCGCCTGGATCTGGACATGTCGCTCTCGTCGCTTCTGTCGCCCTTGTCGCCGCCGTGCTCTGCGACGCCCGTCGAGGCCGCTGCCCGCGGGCCGCTCTGCTTCGCCTGCGTCCTCTTATCGGTGCACAGCTCGTTGCGCACTGCGGCCCCCGCTGTCTCGCTCCAGGCCGCCTCAAATTGCGGCCTGTACGTCCACTCCCCGAGATCAGGGTTCCACCTTTTATCCTGCACAGTATCTTTGATCTTTTTCGCGTCGAAGCCGTCGCGCGCCCACTTCCTCAGCGGAGGGTACTTGCCACCCTTGCGGACGCGCTCCTCCTCCATCCGTTGGACAGTGATTGAGCTGACCACGAAGGCTTCAATGCGATCGAGGTTCGACAGCCCAGGATCTCCTGCCATATCCTTGTAGAACTGCTGCTTGAACTCACTCTTCATTTTGGCGAAACACTTTGGCGGCCAGTGTCCGAACCTCCGAGAAAGGCGCGCCCCGTTCGTGTTGCACGCGTCGCACTGGTAAGTCGACTGACCTTTCGCTCTGATCCTGTAGTTGCACTATTTTGCCGTGCGACAGCAGTGGTTGCAACGCGCGATGCTATCCCCGATGCCATGCACATCCACGAACTCCCCTACCTGGGGAGCGCCTGCTGGCGGATCGTCCTGAGCTGCCTCCTCCTCCTCCGCCTGCGGCGCTGCCGCCTCGGGCGAGCGCTCTTCGTTCGTATGTGCAGCATCGGGCGAGTGCCTCTCGACCTTGGCTACCACGCCCTGCGGTGGAGCCTCTTCCTCCTCAAGCTCACGCTTGGCACTCTCAAGCTCATCCTGTTTGACGCCGAGCTCGGAACCAATCTCGTCGCCGCGCTCCTCGGAGCCCGATGCCGCCTCTGACGCTGCGTCGCCCGGCTCTGGTGGCAAAGCCGCTGCGCCCTGAGGAGGCGGTTCTTCGGCGGGAGCTGCGGCTGACGCAGCTTTGCGAGCCGCCTTCCTCGACGCTGCGGGGTGCTTACCTTTGCCCTTGCCTTTGCTTTTCCCGCGTGCCTCCGGCGGCCCTGCGTCGGTCAATGCGAGCGTCGGCGCCAGCTGTCTAGTGAGTGTCATCTGCGTCCCCGATGGCTTAGCTTTCCCACGGGGCTGCGCTGCGGGCGCCTTGGTCATCACTCCTTTGTTTTTTTTCGGCCTGGCTGCTCCGAACATCAGTGCCGGAGAATGCTGCTGGTGATCTTCAGCGGGCGGCGCCCCCGCCATGGCGGCGTGGCCGCCTTGGCGCGCGAGAAGCCGCGCGTCGCGCGCGGCCGCGTGCTGTCGAGAGAACTGCTGCCAAGATGAGATGGACGCGAAGCGATGACGAAGAAAACGCGCGGTGAGTGAGGCGGGATAGCCGCCAGCGGACTAGCCGCTTCAAAGGTGGAGGGAGGGGTGGAGGGAGGCATGAAGGGGGCGGCATATCCGCCAGCGGACTCGCCGCTTGAGAGGGCGCAGGGGTGCGGCGAGGGAGGCGGATTGGCCGCCAGCGGACTTGCCGCTCGAAGCGTGGCGGACGCACGAGGTGATGCGGATGCTGAAATGAATTGCGCGTAACATGACAACCACACTAAATTGACATCATGTTATCATATGTTATCATATGTTATCAGGCGTGTGATAACACCATGCTGACACCTGATAGCACCTGATAGCATGTCATCAGGTGTTATCAGAGGTTATAAGGTGTTATCAGGCGCGTGATAACATCTGCTACTATATGATATCATCCAACGTTTTTTTGCCCCAAGCATGGCGGCGGCGTAGCGGCGCGTCCGCCGAGTTAGTTAAGCGGAGCAGCAGGGGCGGAGCGGCGCCCTGCGCTACCGACCGCGGAAGGCGCCGCGCGCTTCAAACCGCTGCCCGAGCGGCAGCGAAGAGACGGGCGAGCGCGGAAGCGAGGCGCGCTGCCTGAGCGGCAGCGAAGAGACGGGCGAGCGCGCGCGAACGGGGCGCGCTGCTTGAGCGTCATCGTATGCAAGGCGATGGGGGGGGGGGGCGGACATGGCGATGCAGCACGTCCAAAAAATAGCCGCACTCATTCTTATGCGGATGCAGTTTTCTCCATCCAACCCTTTTGCCAAATCCCATCCAACCGCCCACCTGTCTTATCCGCCAAAGTCCCCTCACCTTCCTCCCGCTCCGCTCGTCCACTCGCCCCCATATCGCCTTGCATTGGGGGGCGGCTACTCGGCCGCCTGCGTGGCCAAAATTCACCTCGGCGCGGCGGCCTTCGCGAATTGAGTGCGGATGGAGTGTGTGGGGATGTCTTAATTTGTTCTGACACAGGGGCGTGGATTGAAATTACGTTGGAGGAGTGGGAGGGGGGCGTGTAGGGCCGACGCGTCGCGCCGCCTGCGCGAATGAGGCAACTGATGCTGAGGCGGCATCAGTGCTGCCAGCCGTGCACCTGCACCTACGAGGTCGCGTTGCGCACCAGCCAGCTCGCGAGCACGTCCTCGCACCCGGCGATGCATTGCTCCTCTTGGCGGAAAGCGTTCACCGCGCGCTCCGCTATCTGGGCGCACATCTGCGTCGCAGTACGCGCGCGGCGCAACGAGTCGAGCACAGCCTGGCACTGGGTGCCGTTGAGCACCGCGATGCTATCGGGCGACATCTGGCTGGCCAACGCCGTGGACATCCTCATGCCCGCCGTGGGCGCGGACGAAGCTGCGCCTGGCGATCCGCTGCCCTCCGAGAACGCGCCCTTCAGCTGGTGCGAGCGCTCCGCGCGGGATGGTGGAGGGATTGGCGCCAGCTCGACCTTCGGCGCCTCCTTGCGCCTTTTGGCGGAGCCCCAGTTGACCTCCTCCTCCTCCCATTGGCGCCACTCCGCGAGGTCGACTTCCCAAGAGTCGGGAACGACTGCGAGAGCAGCTGCCTCCGCTTCTTCCTCGCTCAAGTCGTGGTACGGCGACGCGCGAAGGTGGTTCACCGGCTTGCCCCTGGCCGCCTCCTCTGTCTCTCCCTGGAACCACTTGCCGCCCCTTTTGCAGACGCTGTTCTGTGGGCACTTGAAGCCGAACATGATGGACCTCTCGCCCTGCTGGCCTGCCATGGCAGCGACGCCGCCGAGCCGCGAGCCGCGGCTAGCACAGAAGCCGCTGGGCCGCGAGACTGTGCGCGCCTAGATTCGGGCCGACACGGCGCCCCAACAACAAAAACATACCTGTGTAAGAGGCGCGGTGGCATCGCGCATTTCGGGATGTCACGGGCGGCGGCGGCGGCGGTTTAGCCGCCAATGGAGGGCTCAGGGCGGCGTGGCCGCCAAGGGGGGCCTCAGGGCGGTTTAGCCGCCAATGGGTGGCTCAGAGAAGGACTTTTTTTGTTTTCTTCCAACCGCACAGAACAAACCCGATGCGCCGATGCTCTTATCTGAACGGCGGTTGTCCGCCAGGCGGGGAGAGGCGGCGCGTCCGCCAATGATATAGATCGGCAACGAAGAGAGGGGGGGAGAGATGAGATGAGACGAGGCGGGGAGAGGCGGCGCGTCATGACGCGTCAGCGCGGATAGCCGCAGCTATCCGCGCTCGAATTACGGAAGCTATGCACCTCAGCCCGCCTGCAGTTCCACACGATCACCCTGCGAGAAGACATCTGGGCGGGCGGGCGGGCGCGGTTTCGCTGGCGGTGGTGCCATCTTGCTTGTCGGCTGCAGCCGCCGCGGCTGCGCCATGCTGGGCTTCCCTGCTGGCGGCTGCATGGTCTACGGCGGCGGCGGCCCCATGGCCTTCCGCGGCGGAGGCGGAGCTGGAGGGTTCATCTTGCCAGTGGCCCTCCACGGCGCTTGCTGAGGCACCGTCTTGGGCAAGTTCGGCGCCTTGGGCTCCCGCGGCATCAGCTGAGGCTTGGGGGCGTGCGCCTCGCGCGCCCGCGGCGCTGCCTTGCTGCCGTGCAGCTTCGCGTACATCTCGCGCTTTGCGCCGCCTCGGCCCCCCCCAGCGCTTCGCATTGGCGCGCCACGCCTGGCCCTGCCCATGGCGGGGCCAGGCGGGCCGCGGTCGCGGAACTTCTTGTAGTCGTACTTCATCTGGTACTCCTTGAGCACGGCGAGCACGTTCTCCGACCGCCATTCGATGGGATTCCCAACGGGGTCGCTCAGCCAGGCTCGCAGCTGCGTCCTGAACGCCTCCACCGCGCTGGGGGGCGCCTCCACCGCCTCGGGGGGCCCCTCCACCACGGGCGTCGCGCCACGCATGTGCGACGCGAGCTCCTGCACGAGAGCCGAGGGCGGGGTGGCGCGGAAAGGCCGCTGCCGCGGGTCCCGCGGCGGCGACGTCGGCCCCCGCCTGCGCGGCGGCGTCGTCGGTGCCCGCGGCGCGCGCGGTCTGCGCGATCGCGCTGGCTGCGCCGCCAACGTGGGCGCGCTGGCTGGCTGACTGCCGCTGGCGGAGGAAGACCGATCCCCTGCGTTGTTGTCCACGGCCGCTGCACTGGCCGCTGGCGGAGGAAGACCAGCCACTGCGTTGTTGTCCATCGCAAGGTCGCGAGAGCGAACTGCATCGCTGGCCCGAACAGACTGCGCCGACCGATCCCCTGCGTTGTTGTCCACGCCCGCAAGGTCGGAGAGCAGTCGCTCGACCGCGAGCGGCCAGCCAGTTTCGCGCGCGATGCGCGCGTCCCTGGCTACCGCACGCGGGGCCACTTGTTTTGGCGATGCAGCTGCCTCCAACGCGTCGAACGCGCTGCCGCTGTCTGCCATGGCCGCGGTCGCAGTGCGAGGCGCCGAGCGCGACGCGGTGGCTGCGGCGCAGCCTCGGCGCGCGGGCCCCAGCCCCCGCGTCGGCGCGAAAGGGGGGGCCGATCCCGCGCGAGCTCGCGGGCACCCGCGGGCCGCGGGCTTGAACCGAAATGGCATCGGACGCGGAAGCGAGGCTTCGGGAGGAGGGGGGGTGGGGGTTGCCCATGGACCCATTGAAGTCTTGGAGCTCCTCGAGCCCTCGGGAGCCTCTCAGAAGGGCCCCGCTGGTTCTTGCGACGGGGTCTCGGGGGAGGGGGCAGAGTGAGGGCGGCATTGGGCACCGGAAATATAAGTGAACCGACGTCCCTTTGAATGTGCAGGTCTTGGTTCACTTGTTTTCGTCGTTAAAAGGGCGGTGGCAACGTCAGTACCTTCGCGCGCGCCCAGGCCATTCTGGGTGAACGCCTTCGCCGTTCGAGCAGTGGGCGTCTCCCCGACGTTAGTTGGCGTGGGATCCAGTGCCTGACAGCGGAGAGGGGGGCGCAGGGACGTGGCGCGGGGGCGCGGAGTGGGCCGATTAGGGGAGGGGGGCGGCGGCATGTCCGCCTGAAGGGCGGAGGAGCGCAATGGGGTGGGGCGGGGGCGGCATGTCCGCCACGAGTTGGAAGGCGAGAAGGCTGCGCTACAAGGCGGCATATCCGCCACGAGGCGGCATATCCGCCACGACCTTTTTGTTATCCCGAGGCCGCCCCGTTGGCCTGGAGAGTTGAAGAGTCGTAGCGCGAATTGCTCGCCGCGCGCCCAGGCGGCGAGCTCCTTCTTGACCAGCTCCTCCGCCTCCGCGATGGCCCTGGCCTCGGAGCGATCGGGCGCAACGGGGCAGCAGGGGGCGGAGGGGGCGTCGAGGCAGGGGCGAAAATGAAGAGAGCGCGGAGGAGGGCGTCGAGAAGGGCGTCGGTGAGAATCTGGCCTTGTCGGCCTCATCGCCCGCGATGTACTTCAGGCTGACGTTGCTGCCAGGGGCGCCGATCCCGCCGCTGCGGAACTGCACCTGGGGGGCGGAGCAACGATGAACAGTCGCCTGAAAGGCGGCGGGCGCGCAAACTGCGACCCCAGCGGAGCTGCTGGGAATCGCCGCGCGCGCCCGACGCCTCATCGGTGGGAGGTGCAACCCCGCTCGCCAAGTTGCGCGTGGTCTGCATCTCCCACCTCGGCTTCGCCCACTTGCGCTGCTTGTCCTTCTCAGCCGCGCCGTCCGTCTTCTTGCCCGTGGGGAGCGGCGTCTTCTTCTTAGCCACGTTGCCCACGGCAGGCGGCGTCGTCTTCTTTGCCGCGTTGTCCTTGCCAGGCGGCGTCGTCTTCTTAGCAGCATTGCCCGTGGCAGGCGTGGGGGCCTTTACCGCCTCCGCGTTCTTGTTCGTCTTGACCGCCTTCGTCCTCTTATCCATGGCCGCGACCATGGCCAGAGCCGCCTCCGTCGGGGTCTTCTTCAGAGAGCTTGCGGCGATGCCGACCTTCTCAGCCTTGGGCGGCGGCGTCACGGCGACGATGCCGAAGTCGGAGTCGGAGTCGAGCTCGATCGGCAGCTCATGCTTATTATGCTTCTTCGCCGCGCGGCTCTTGCTGATCGAGGCCGTCTGGGCGGCAGCGGTGCTCAATGACGGCTGACAGTCGGCGGGTTTGCCGCCATCGTGTGCCGCCTGCTGCTGCGTCGACGGCGCGCCCGAACTCCCCGCCGCCATCGAAAGCTGGTGGTTCGAACCTGCTCGTTCTTGCAGCGGCTCCTGCGGCTGCTGCGTCTGCGAGCGGTCGATCAGCTGGATGGCTGGGTTGGGCCAGCGGCCGCCGCTGCGCGAAAGCCCCACCTGAAATCAGGCGGTTCACCGCCGAACGAAAACATTCCCCCCCCCCCTCGATCCAGGCATCCAGAAACGCACCCCGCGCCGATCCAGGAACCCACCCCTCGACCCAATACCGGGTGTCCCGCGGGGGAATGCGTTCTGTTATTCCCCGTGGGGCCGTCGGCCAGCGCCCAGAGAACGAACCGGCCGCCGCGATGGGGAGGCGCTGCTGAGGAGAGCCGCCGCCTGGGCCGTGGGATGTCTGCAGCCCGCCGCGGGCGGGCGCAGGCGCGGGCAGCGCGAGGTGGCCGCTCTTCTTCCCTGCACGGAGATTAATCAGCTTCGCAATCGTCACCATCTCGACGGGATTTATCTGCGGCGCCGTCGCTTCAACACCTGGCGGGAAGGCGTCGACGTACGTGATGGGGTACTGAGACTGGAGCCTCCCAGGCGTGATGGGGAGAGCCTGGATGCCATCCCTGGGCGGCGGCATCGTCGCCGCGAGATTCTTGAACGAGGATTTCATTGTGACCAGATATGACTGCAACAGCTCCCTCGTGATCTCGCCGGTCTCCACGCCTGTCTGCTTGCACGCCAGCAACAAGAATGCTGCCATATTGGCGGCCGTCGGGCAGCTCGGATGCCTCGAGCCAAGCGCCCCGAGGTGCTCTGAGAACGCCGCCATCTTGGCAGTGAAGCCCGAATGCGGCGAGAGCACGAACTCCCACAACTGAGGCGTCAGAAATTCAATGAACCCCTCGTAGTTCTGGAGCTTCCTCCCCTGCAGGCTGCCCGACGACAGAGCCTGCAAGGAGTCTCCCAGCTCGGACTGCGCCCACGCCGCCGCCCAAAGCAGCAAACTGCGCACTCTGGAGCTGCGACCAGCGCTGGGACGTCGCCGCCTGGATGCAGGCAGGAAGGTGCTCCGTCGCACTGCCGCGCGCTACGAACGCCGCCCGCGCCTCCTCCAGGCGGCCTCGAAGGGCGCCCTCCATGGCAGCGATGCGGCGCGACCTCGCGCCGAGCGGAGTGCGCGACTCCCCGCGCGCGCGCGCCGCCCGAAGCCCTCGGAGGAGGGCTCGCCAAAAACGGCTCGAGCCAATGCGCGTGCGACGGACATATCCTATTCCTGCCCTTCCTGCTCCTCCTCCTCCCCCTCCTCCCCCTCCTCTTCCTCCTCCTCCTCCGTCCCTCCTCCTCCGGCCTACTCCTACCCCCCTCCTGGGCGCCCTCCGCCTCCGCCTCCTCTCGCCTCCCCTCCCCCCGCCTCCTCATCCCTCCTCGTCGCCCCCCTCCCTCCTCTTCCCCCCCCCCTGGCGGAGGGGGGGTCTACAGGGGGGAGAGCTGGGGCGCGAAGGGGGGGGGGGGGAGGGGGGCCGAAGTGCGCCGGGGGGGGGGGAAAGAGAAGCAACGGGGGTAGGGTTGGACAGAAGAGAGAGCGCGCAAAAGGGGAAGGGTGGGTCGGAGGGCGGCTTGACCGCCGAGGGGGGTGGAGGGAAGGCGGCCAAAGCAAGCCGCCGATGGGGCGGGGGAGCGGGGTAAGGCGGTTTCCGCCAGTAGGAAGGCAAGAAGCGGGTTGCCGCCAGAGGAGGAGAAGCGGTCTTGGCCCGCCAGAAGGGGTGAGGCGCTTTGCCGCCCCGAGGAAGGAGACAGGGCGGGTTGCCGCGCCAGAAGGGGTAGGGCGGTTTTGCCGCCTGATGGAGAGAAAGCAGGTTTGCCGCAGAAGCGGCGGTTTTGCCGCCAAACGGAGAGGGGAAAACCGGCATGAGTGCCGCCATGGGGGGCGGGGGGGGGGGGGGGGGAGGGGCGTCTTGCCGCCGACGGAGGACGAGGCGACGGAGGAGAAGGCGGTGCGCCGCCGAAGGAAAGGGGGGATAAGGGAGGGCCGAAGACACATGGACAAACATTTTCCTCCTTCCCTCCCCCGCCCCCGCGGGCATGCGCGCAGCCCGCAGCGCCGCGGCCGCGAGGCGCAGCAAGTACCTGCGGCGCCTCGGTCCTGCACAACTGAACAACAACAACGGACATTCAAGGGATTTCAAAAAATTAAACATAACAAATACGCAAATGATTAACGAAGACACGAGTATGTTCAGCCCCATCGGCTTAGCAGAGATATCTAACTTAGTATATTACTTACATCTACACTTACGAACACCATAAGTATTGCATATGCACACAAGAAATGCGCGATCCACAAGTGTACGTTCTATGGCTTAACTAAGATTATGTAAGATGAACGGTCTTACCGCACTTACAGCCACCCGACGATCAAAGTAAGCCAGGTCTGCCGTGGTTGGTGTTGTTTTGGGTGGCGGCAGTTCCGGGCAGTGGAACGGGGCGGCGGGTGGCGTCCCCCAGTACACATCACCAAACCAGGTCCCGCCTAAACCCAGTTCTTGCAACGCCCGATTCGGGCGTTGGCGAAACCTGGGCAAGCGCGGGGGTCGGCCATTTGTTGGCCGCGGGCGGCAACGTGGCGAAACCTCGGCAGACCCCTCCAATTCCTCAGTGCTGAAGCGAGAACCCATATGTGCAAACACTGTTTGGGAATCCTTCGATGTGCATGTGCGTGCATGCGTACATCGGAAAATGTGTATATAAATACCACTAGTGTGTATGCGTATGCGTATGCGCCTGTGCATACAATTTGGCATAAATGAGTATTCTGGATCCCCTAATAATCGCCGCCCCCTTGCAGTGCAAGGGGGGTTGGCCGCGGCGCGTCCGCGGGCGTGCCATGGGGGGTCTGGGGTTCGATCCTTTCCCCGCTGGGGCGCGACGGTGGTGCCGGGGGGGGGGGTTGGCCGCGCCGCGTTTTCAAGGCTGTCACCCCCCAGCTGATGTATACGAAGTTCGGAGTATATACGCAGGATTGCAAAACAAAAACCGAAGCGAAGGATTGCAAACAAAACCCTGGGTTTTTTTTGCAATCATGTTTTTTTGTTTTTTGCAATCCTTCGTGCAATCCTTCGTGTAAGTGCGCGCGCGTATGTGATGCAGGCCCTGCTTTGGCGCGTGGGGCAGGCGGTGCGGCGCGAGCTCCGGCCGCGGCGCGCCCCGCGCGCGCACAGAGCAGCCCGCGGGGCGGCCGCGGGCGGGCGGGCACCGGGCGGGGCCGCGTGGCGCCCGGCGGGGCGCGCGGGGCGGCCACGTGTGGCCACCACGCGACACCTCCTCCTCCTCCTCCTCCTCCCTCCTCCTCTCCTCCTCCTCCTCCTCCTCCTCCTCCCTCCATCGCCTCCTCCTCCTCCTCCCTCCTCTCCTCCTCCTCCTCCTCCTCCTCCTCCTCCTCCTTCTCCTCCTCCTCCTCCTCCTCCTCCTCCTCCTAAGTCGGGCACGCCCCTCCACGTGAGGAGTATCCAAAAGTGGACACAGTAGTAGCCTGGGGTCGATGTTTGATGAGTAGCCTTTGCTAGTTTTGAATCTTTCATGTTTGACAGAGTAGTATCGGGGGAGCGTAAGACCCGGGTTTGCCAGGACTCGGGTTCGCCATCGTTTTTTGACGACCGCGCTTCGGATTTTGACGAGGAGGAGTTTCGTGGGACGTCCGCAGCGGGAGGCCTCGTCAAAATGCAGGCTCGGCCTCGTCATTTTTGTTGACGACCTCGTCGGGGATTTCCGAGTCCCCTGTACCCAGGTCTTACGTCCCCCTGACACAGGAGTATTCAAAAGTGGACAAAGTAGTAGCCTGGAGTCGATGTTTGATGTCTATTCTTTGCTAGTTTTGAATCTTTCATGTTTGACAGAAGTAGTCAAAATGGTAGTCTCGGGCCGATGTTTGCTGAATATGCTTGGCTAGTGTTGAACATTCCATTGTTGGATGCTGTTGCATGTTTCGCGCGAAGGCCGCCTGCAGGGGGACGAGCACGACTTAAGGATAGCCCCCCGCCCCACACCCGCGCAGCAGACGGGGCGCCCACGAGGCGCACACGGGCGGCCACCAGCTGGGCACCCCTCCTCCTCCTCCTCCTCCTCCTCCTCCTTCCTCCTCCTCCCCTCCTCCTCTCCTCCTCCTCCTCCTCCTCCCCCTCCCCCTCCCCCTCCCCCCTCCCCCCTCCCCTCCCCCTCCCCCTCCTCTGCCACCTCCTCCCTCGCCCCCCTCCCCCTCCCCCTCCCCCTCCTCCTCCTCCTCCTCCTGCTTGGGGGTTTTATGTGCGGCACCGAGGGCCATGCTTCCGCAGGCCGCGCCGATCAGACACCCATGCAAGGGAGCAACCTCGATGCTTCACGGGTGCAAGCCGCCCAAGGCACCGTCACGTGGCTGATGCCCGAGCACGCGTGCAAACCCCACGCGAGCAAACACGCAATACCAACCTGAAAACACCCAGCGGACGCCGAGGCGACACACCGAACACGCGGTCACACCCAGACCATCGACGGATCTTCCCTCGTTCATGATCCTCCGTTTTTCATATCCAGCTGATGCGGCAAGCCCCGCCACCGTGCTTGTGAAACAGCGCAGCTTGAAGAAGACTGCGTTCAGGAACAGCGCGATTCAGACTTGTTTGAATTGTGTGGGTGTCGTGAATTTGACCTCGTCTTCGACGGTGCGGCAGGGGGTGTGTTGAGTTCACGCCTTGCTGCAATTCAGCGATCGCTCTGAATTGAGGTTGGTTGCGAACTTGACCTCGTCTTCGTCCGCGAGGTAGATGAGGCGGAAGAGATCCATTACTTATTTTTGTGAGTCGTGGCAGCGAAAGCACGGTTGGTTTTGCGAGGGATCCTGGTCCCGGAAAGGGGTTGCGATACAAGCAGGAGTCTGTCGGTAGAGGGGGGGGGCTCTAGAACACAGGAACCCTACCAGACACCCAGTGGCATTCTACCACGCATGAATGTGCCATGGGAGTCTTATGGCGGATAACTCCCCCCATGGCTACTTGGGGGAAAGCACTTGATGCATGTGACGGCGTTTTTCTGTCATATCGATGCCAATTCTCCTCCCTCCTTGTCCTCGTACTCCTCCTTTGCACGGACAGCCAGATCTAATTGACACGAGTGAAACATGTATCAGGCCATGCGACGCCGACCTGCACGCGCTTTGTCGGAAGGAATCGTGAGTTGGCAGTTGATTCCGAGCGAGCATGTTGAACATAAAATGTGACTCCGTGTCCAACGCCGACCTCTTCTGATCTCCTAGGGGGGAGGATACACTTTCGCTCGAACCCGAGTAGGTGCGCCAAACACCGGTAAAACCGCGTGCGGAGTACGCCTATCTTGCCCTCCTAAAGGGAGTCATGAGGTAGCGGTTGATTAGAGACGCTATTGAATGTATGGTCAACCACAAGTTCAGAGTCCGTTGTCCCATCTTGCCAGGTTCAATCCGAACGCTCAGTCGGATCAAATGGACGGAAACATGCAACATTGATTTTTCCTGTTCATCCTGACAAGTTGCTTGACCGAGTGCGCCCCAGAGGGCGTCCGGAATGCGTGCTTGGATCTGCGAGGCTGTGCGGAGCGAAGGCACCAGCGCATCCAGCCGGTCGACCCCCCCCCGCCCTCGTCATCGCTATAAATTTTTCGAGCGGGCATGGGGAGCATATGTCGGGGGCGGAAAAGAGGGGGGTGATGACTAGGGGGGGGGTGGATATCATGGCGTGGGCCATGATATTTCCACAGATTTCATGGCGCCCCTTCTTATTTCATTACGTCCCTGGCCCCCCCGCTGGGTCGCGCACATGCTGCCGGTCATGATTTGCACCCCCCCTCTTGGACACCCCCCTCTTGGCCGCTCCCGCATATGCAAGGACCAATCGAAGAAGAAACGACGCGAGGAACAGACACTTTTTGAGCTCCGCGCGGCGCCTCCCCGGGCGGCGCCTCTGGTGCCGCCCCTGGCGCCCCGCGCGCCAGGGAGGGGGGGTCCAGCGCGGATCCGAGAAATCCGCCCGCAGCGCCAAAAGTTTTGCTTATGGCGTTTTTTCACTTTCTGACCAAGCTCGCATTCCGCGGGGTGGTCAGAAACCCCCAAACGGGGTGGTGACCACACCGTGTGGTGAAGTCGATGGGGATTCGGGGTCACCGCACGGTCTTGGGACTCGGGTCGTTCTCCGAAGACGTCTCGGGCGATTGTGGCATCCGAGGTCCCAGGGTTGCGCGTTGACGGACCGTGCGGTGAGGTCTTGGGGGATTTCGAGGTCACCACACGGTCCGTCACCGCACTGTTTCGGGACTCCATATTCTCCGCGGGGTCGGGAGACGTCCGCATCGACCTCCTCTCGTGGGACCGCCCGCGGTGTCCCGTGCTCGTGCCGTGTCCAGCGGCCCCCCCTGGCCGCGCCGTCAGGCCTTCCCGACGCCGTGGCGACGCGGACGTAGGTCGGGCATGTCTCTCCAGGGGAGGAATATTCTAAAATGATCCGAAAGCAGTGTGGGGACGACTCTTCTACAATGTTCGACTATGCTTGAATACTGGATTGCGAAGGCCTTACGGCCAGTGCCGCCGACCCTGAATTGCGACGACTCTGACGACGACGACGAGCGTTCTCGGGGGCCTCTTCGGGGTGTTTGGGGGCCTCTTGGGAAGCTCTGGGGGGCCGCTTGGAAGCCTCGTGGGGGCCTGTTGGGGTCGCTGGGGGTCTCTTGGGGGCTTCTTGGGGCTTCTTGTACAATGTTTGACAATGTTTGAATACTGGATTCAACTATCTCTCATTTTTCCTCCAGAGTCCGCCTCTACGAGGACATGCCCGACCCGATCGTAGACGACGGCGGTGACGACGGCGGCGGTGGCGGCGGCGGCGGCGACGGTGCGCGCTGCCGCGCCGCGCGCGCGCGCGCCGCCCGCGCGCGGAGGAGCTGGACGGCATCGAGCAGGAGCTGCGGAGGGACCTCGGCAGAATGGGTGCCGCGGGGGCCAAGCGGTGGAGCCTGGCATCGCTCGGACGTGGATATTTTTTTTCGGCGAGGACCCTTGAGGAACATCCTGGACCATCGAGCGAAACAAACACGCACGAAACAGAAAAATGCACGGGAAATGGACGTCCGAGCGACGGCAAGCATTGCGTGTGGCTTGAGCGGGAGCTGCGGAGGGCCTCGGCAGAGTGGGTGCCGCGGGGGCCAAGCGGTCGATCGTCCACCCCTAGTCCGAGCTGCCCGAAATTTCTGTTTCGGTTTCAAACACATGCTGAAAGATGCAATGGAAGTCCAATTCCCAGTGCGAGTTGACGATACCACCCATCCGTACACGGTCACAGTTGGAGGGGAGTTGGCATTATCGGTTACAATAGATGGGCAAACCGTTCACCGTGAGTGGAGCAGAATGGGTGCCGCGGGGGCCAAGCGGTGGAGTCGTTCGCAGATCCGGGTGGCACTGCATGTGGCTTCGGACATCAGTCCCTGAATGAGTTGCCACAGAAGGTGGATCGGAGGAGGAGGTCGGTTACAGTCGGGCTGACGCATAAGATCAAGGTCGGTCCGGGGAGGGTACCCTTGTCGTCTTTGTGTTTATTGGGTGTTCTTGTGCATCCTGGGGAGGGTACCCTTGGATGTTCTGTTTGTTTTGGCCGATGGAGAGTCTCATGGTCTCAATTGATGTTCTTCTGGCCTAGGTCCGACTGTAAGGCCGTGAGTAAGAACCACCTTTGGCTCAAGACGGGCTTCCTTTTTGTTAGAGTCGTTCCTTGGATCCAGGTCGGGGGCAAAGTTGTGGCCGAGTCTTGCCGTCGCCAGCCCAGCCTCCTTCGCTTCCGATCTGGCGATCCGTAGGGTAGCACGATGGCCGTATTGCAGACTGACCTATGCACATGGCTGGAAGTGTATGGCGTTCCCTTGCTCTCGCAGGAGAAGCATGTACCCATAGGCCCATACCGCTACCCTTTCCTCGGGTTCGCCTTGATGGGCCTCCTAGGAGACCCTCGTCGCCACCGCTGGATTCGCCTCGAAATTCTGGTCAGAACGCAGCCTGGTAGAGGTGTGGGGAGCGGTGGTATGGGTACCCTTTGGTCTCCCCATTCTCCTTCTCCTCGTCCTCGTTTCTCTCTTCTCCGGCTGGCCTGCCCTCCTGAGCCACAGGCCAGCGCACGAGTTCTCCGCGCGGATTTCTTGGATCCGCGCCGGGCCCCCCCTGGCGGCGCCTCCGGCGCCGCCCCTGGCGCGCGCCAGGGAGGGGGGGTCCAGCGCGGATCCCAGGAATCTGCGCGGAGCGCCAAAAGTTTATGTTTATGTGGCTCGTCTTCTTCTATGACGGTTGTCCTTGGTAGTTGGTTCGGTTTCTTCGGGTTCTTGCGCGGTGCCCGCCCGTGGGCGCTGGAGGGGCGTCCCTTGCGGCGGCCAAGCGTCCTCCCGCCAGCGCCCCGTGGCTGTGTCCTGCGTCCTGCATCGGTGATGCGCTGGCCGGGTGTTCCAGGCAGTCGGCCAGAAGCCGGCCGTGGACGGCCTGTGGGCGCCTCGTGGGGCGGCTGTATTTCGGGGGGCAGCACGCAGCTGTGTCACAGAGCGTGCTTATGGCACACGATATTTGAGTTCCCCCTCCCGACCATGCAAGGTCGGGCCGGACGACAGGGGGGGATTGGGAAAGGGGGCAGGGTCGAAATCTGCTGCATGCAGCTGGTTTCGCCCCCCCCGAGGGGCCCATTCCTAGATGCATGGGCGCCTCCCGGCGCCGGGAGGCGCCGGGAAAATCAGCTTCGCGAGCTGATTCTCAACCCCCCCCTTTGCTATCCCCCCCGTTCGCCTGGCCCGACAAGGTCGATGGCATCAGCTCCCCACCGAGCAGTGCTTCATGTATTATAGTGTCGGTCATCCTCCAACATTCCAAGCAGTATCAAGGTAGTCGCGGTATGCCCACCCTGGTAGCAGTGAAGCCAGATTGTGCGGTGCACAAGAGTTGCCTTGTGAACTGATGTTTGACAAGAAGCCCGTTCAACAGCAGGGTCACACAATGCGGCCACGCGCGCGTCGCCGCGCGCGCATGCTGGATCCATGAAACATCGGTGTCAAAATGCGCAGTCGAAACAGAGTAATTGAACAACTATCAGCATCATCTTGTTTCTCAAGGTATTGCTAGATTTTCAGCGCGCGCACTCACTGACATCATACAACTAAACGTGTCATTCTGGCGACTGTATCAAAGTAGACCATGCGCGGGCCATTCGCGGGCGCTTCTCGGATACAATCAGCTATCATCGCGCAAGCGCCAGTTCTGTCAAATTATCCCATGTTGGCCGTACGCGCGTGTATCCTCATTGTGTTTCTAAGCCTTCGATGACAGCTCTCCTCAGCATCATATGACAAAAAAACTAATGGGTCCCCAGCGAGTGGCATGCCGGAGATTCTGCATGCATGCTCGGGCACTTCATCATCGTCATCCTCACCAGCGCCCTCATGTTCGCCAAGGGTTTCAATACGCGAAACCGTCATGACCGTCCCCATCATCAGTTGGAAGTTGCTGTCCTCGCCATCGGAAGTGCCATCGCCTTCGTCATCATTGTAGTCGTAGTCGTCGCCGACGGCGCCGTCACCATCGTCATTCGCCCGCCAGCAGGTTCCGTGCGCCATTGCGCCTGTTGAGATGTGCGAGGAAGTTCGGATGAGTAAACTCATTCGCACATTGAGTTTTGCCAACATGGTATGGATGGATGGGTGGCATGTTTGCTCGAGCATGTGAGTTGGTGCCTTCATTTCCACTCGTTTGATGGTCTTCTATAGACTGCATGACATAGAGAACAACACACACATTGTGCGACATGGGTTGTTGTACTACTTAGATTTTGCCAAATCGCATTTATCGCATAGCTTGCAGTTACCACATGTATTGCACCGCACTGGGTTGCACCACATGTAGTCTGACCCGTCAGTCTATCTCCTCGCACATATTGCAGCCCATACAGTATATTGCACAGCGTAAAGCATATTCCATGTTGCCAGCGGCCTAGCTTGCACTACATAGCCTGCACCATGCATGCTGCTCCAACTAGGTCGCATAAGGCAGATTGTGCTCAAATGCTGCTGCTCACACGCATGGCAAACCAAATATTCCCAATCGACATTGCAATGACCCTTTGCTTATGGCCCACGCTGGCAAAAATATGTATCCCCGAGTTGGGAAACAGGCGCGCACAACATCGCGACGCCAGGGGCTCCCATACCATTTCCTCTCTGCGGAGGCTCGTTCCGGGAACCTGGGCTAGCATAGAGCGGCCCAGGATACAGCAGCGGTCCAAGGAATTGATCCAGAGTTCCAGGAGGTAACGCCCCGAACACAACAGAAGCACAACATTCAGCATTGGAGGTCTCGAGGTCACTGGGTTGTCTCCAGACGTCCCCCGAGGTCCGCGCAGATGCCCCCGCGCGCTGCGGAGGTCCCCCGGAGGTGCC